TCAAGTTATAAGCTACTGCTAGTTTAATTCGTAGCATAATGCCTCAAGTTCCATGTATAGTGGGGAGGTGCCATTGGTCTTTTTACTAAAACCTATAATCCATTCCCCACTGGAGTCTCTAAAAAAACCTCATATCCCTCATTGTTTAAATCTACTCGTAAAAGCTCCATCTATGTTTAATTTCAGTTTTTGCATGGTGGGGGGCTCCCATTTGGTAGACACTGTTAGGGGTCTATCTAGTTTACTGCAATTGATGTTACTACAGTGAAGATATTCCATGGCTCCTGAGGAAACATTGTTGCTATCAACTGGGTTGCAAAGATTGTGAAAGATGTTTCAATTCCTATTTAACCAAAGTAGCGAAAGAACAAAGGAAAAGAGACAGTCCCATGTTAGGGAATGGGATGTGATTTGAGGTTTGTGCTTGTAGAGGCTAACCAGCCAATGGTTAGATTGGGTGTCAACAATTTGTATGCTAACACCTAGTTCTTCCCATAGATGTTTGGCTATTGGGCAAAAGAGAAAAATGCGTTGCGGAGTTTCCTCAGTGTTAGGACAAATTGAGCAGTGCAAGGGAGCATCAATCCCAATGTGACATAGGTAGGTTTTGGTAGGTAAGCGATCATGGTAGCATTGCCATATGAAATACTTAATCTTATTCCAAGTTTTCAGTTTCCAAAGCCATCCAAAAAATTTGCTTTGGTTTTGAGTGTTGTTAGAGGTTATAAGAGGGTACACAGATTTTGTGCTGAAAATTCCATCTATGGTGGGGGCCCATATCGGAATATCAATGTGGTGGTAGTCATTTGTATTTTGGAAGGAGTGAATTTCAATTGAAATGTGGGATAGGAGCTCAAAAGATATTTGTGACAAGTCCCATGAGTTGTTGGAGAATATGTTCGAAATTTTGAGATTTGAATCATTGTATGACAGGGGACCTTGAATCATACGACGTAGGCTTTTTGTGCAAGGCAGCCAGTTTGCATGCCAAAAGTAAACATTGGAACCATCTCCAATATGCCAGACAATAGCATCCTTGGAAATGGTCCAGCCTGTGAGAATGTTTTTTCATATAAAGGAGTGAGATGTATTTGAGTATCGACCAACATATTTAGAATTGATAACTGTAGCCCAAATAGTAGTGGGATGACTAAAGAATCGCCAAGTGAGGCTTGTAATAACGGCAGTGTTTTTATCAGAGGATTTTCTTATTCCTAGACCCCCATCATGTTTTGACAATGAGACAGTATCCCATTTAACGTAGTGGATTTTCCTGGAGCTTTGATTACTGTCGCACAAGAAGTCACATTGAATTTTATCAATTTGACGGTGGATTTTTTAAAGCAGCATCGTGTATTGCATAACATGGTTAGGGAGGGCATTGAGGGCGGTTTGAACAAGGGTAGCTCATCCCGCAAGTGAGAGAAATTGGGTTTTATAACTAGTCAGTCTTTTATTGAGGTTGTCAAGGATGAATGTGTAGTCAGTTGGCTTAGGTTTGTTAGTCAAAAACAGGTATTTTCCAAAGTTGTCACTAACTTTGATGTTAAGGATGGTAGAAATGGAATTTTTTAGATTAATAGAGCAGTTCTTTGAAAAGAGTAATTTAGATTTGGTGTGATTTATTTTTACATGTCTGTCTCTAAAATAGAAAAGAACAGAAAGAACTAGATAGGAAGGGGACGCCAAGGCCTGCGGACGCCTGCAGGACTACCTCAGGTCAACGATGGACTGAAGGCAGCAACCCTTAGCTGAGGTCCGTATGCTCCAGTACCGGAATCTGCATAAAAGAGTGCAGAGTGTAGTATCAGCACATCCGATCCTATGTGCTGGTAAGTGTCGAGCCTAACCTCGGCAAAGTAGTGACGAGGCTAGGACACAACAAATAATTAACGTGCAGTTACACAGTATCTAGCAGAATAACAGTAACAGAAGTAATTCAAAAGTAACAGGGAGGGGTAGCATGCTATGGGGGAAATATCAGCATAAAGAATGAAAGTAACAGTGATAAGACAACTAAGGCATTTGAATCGAAAACAGCAAGAAGTCATAACAAACAGGAAATAAGTGCACGACATCACCCTTCGTGCTTTTACTCTCAATCCTCACCAATGCAATCAAGTAATGAAAATGTGCACGGCATCACCCTTCGTGCTTTTACTCTCAATCCTCACCAATGCAATCAAGTAATGAAAATGTGCACGGCATCACCCTTCGTGCTTTATCTCTCTTCCTCACCATATAAATAAGTATGAATGTGCACGGCATCACCCTTCGTGCTTTATCACTCTTTACTCACCATATGCATAAGTATGAATGTAAATGTGTGCGGCATCACACTTCGTGCTTTATTACTCTTTCTCACCCACACAATAGCAACAACAATATCCCGGCAAGAAAATCAACAATAAGTATAAATATGTCCCGGCAAGGGAATCAACAATAAGGATTAAATACGTCCCGGCAAGGGAATCAGCTATAACCAAACTTGTACCAATAATCAACTTCACAATTGCACCTCAACTAGAGCCAGTGCTCAACAATAACCAAATACCAAGAAGAAAATCATAAATCTTACTCAACGTGGATAATCAACAATTTAGGCATACGTAGTACTTATTAAGGGACACAACGATCACAATTTGAGACCCACGGGCATGCTTGACATCAATGTATAGATACTCATCACCATACCTATACGTTGTACACTACACTAACACATAGCAAATAAGGCACAACACATATTCCCTCAAGCTAAGGTTAGACCGACCACTTACCTCGAACTTCCACGGCCAACTCAAGCCTCAAACACCGTTTTTCCTTTAGAATTCGCCTCCAATTCAATTGTATCTACCAAAATTAACTTAACAAAATCAATAAATCCTAAAGAATTCAATCCCAATGCTAAATTATAGGTATCATTTTCTCCAAAAAGTCAAAAATCGACCCCAGGCCCACTTGGTCAAAACTCGAGGTTCGGACCAAAACCCGATCATCCATTCACCCACGAGCACGAATATGTAATTAGTTTCGAAATTCGACCCCAAAACAAGGTCTAAATTCCAATTATTCAAAAAGCCCTAATTCTTCACAAAATCCCTAATTCTACCATGGAAGAACAAGATTTAGGCCTAGAAATCTAATGGATGTTGATAAAAAATGAAAGAAATAAGTCTAAGAACACATACCTATGGTTTAGTATTGAAGTTGCTCTTCAAAAATAGCCTAAGGTCTGATTTTGGGGAAGGAGATATGAAATTATGGCTTAAATCCCGTTCTGCCTCTGTTTTAAATCGCTGGGCAGACCTTCTTCGCATTCACGAAGGGTTTGCTGCGTTCGCGAGACGCACCGGCCACAAGCCTTCGCGTTCGCGTGATACCCATCGCGTTCGCGAAGGCATTCTCCCCCAGCCTCTGCGTTCGCGATCCACATGACGCGTTCGTGATGAGTATTCCACCCCTACCCCGGGTCCCTGCCCTAATGGCCTTCGCGTCCGCGATAGCCAGGTCGCGTTCGCGAAGGATAACTCCCCCCAACGCTCCGCGTTCGCGACCTGTGCCTCGTGTTCACGTAGAAGGAATTTCCTTCGGATAACTTTTACTCTTCGCATTCGCGAGGGTCCTTCCGCGAACGCGTAGAACAAAATACCAGCACACCAGAAGCAACAATACAGTAGAAAATCTTAAGTCCAAAACACCCCGAACCCCATTCGAAACTCACCCGAGCCCTCGGGGCTCCAAACCAAACATGCATACCAACCCAAAAAATATCATACGGACTTACTCGTGCGATCAAATCGCCAAAATAACATCTAGAACTACAAGTTTAGCATCAAAATCAAAGAAAAATCTCAATAACTCTTAAGTTCAAATTTTTACAACCGAGGGTCTGATTCACATCATATGAAGTCCGTTTCTTACCAAATTTTACAGGCACAACTTAAATACCATATAAGACCTGTACCGGGCTCCGGAACCAAAATACGGGCCCGATACCATCACATTCAAACACATTTAAATTTCCAAAAACTCTTATAATTTCAGTTAAATAATTTTCTTCAAGAATTCATTTCTCGGGCTTGGGACCTCGGAATTTAATTCCGGGCATACGCCCAAGTCCCATATTTTTCTACGGATCCTCCGGGACTGTCAAATTATGGGTCCGGGTCCGTTTACCTAAAATATTGACCGGAGTCAACTTAAATTTAATTTTAAAGGTAAAATTGGCATTTTCATCAAATTTTCACATAGAAGCGTTCCGGATATACGCCCGGACTGCGCACGCAAATCGAGGTGAGATAAAAGGAGGCTTTTAAGGCCTCGAAACATAGAATTAACTTGTAAATCAAGTGATGACCTTTTGGGTCATCACATAAATTCTTAAGGTCATTAGCATTAGGAAACTTGGGGATTAGACAAAGAAAGGTGGTATTGAGTTGCTCTGGAATGGTGTGGGTTGCAATTATGGTGTGATAATAATCAAAAACTGTATTTTTAACAATTGCCAATATTTCTAGTAGAAGAATGGGTGTAGCCCATTCGGGCCAGGAGCTCTGAATGGTTTAAAGGAAAAAATAGCCCTAGTGATTTCGTAGTTTTATAATGGTTTGTCTAGGGCTACTAGTTCAGTGTATGAAGTGGAGGTTGGGGAGGCTTGATTGCTTGCCCAGTTTGATGATTCGTGGCTTGTTTTATAAATGCTTTGGAAATATGTGAAGGTATGTTGAAGGATTTTATCAGGGGCATTAATCCAATTGTTATGCTCATCTTTAAAAAAGAGATACGGTTTTTTCTTCTCCGATTTAGAACACTTATATGGAAAAATTTTGTACTTGCATCCCCTTCACTAAGACAATTAATGCGTGACCTAAGTTTCCAATAATCTTCCACAATTTTTAAGAGATTACTATAGTCGTTAGTGAGGGTTTGTTCGAGATTCTTCAAGAAGGCACTAGTAGGATAGTTAACGGATTTTTGGATCCCACTAATTCTTGCCAGGATTTTTTTCTTCTTATTAATGACATCACCAAAAGTGGTGGCAGACCAGTTTTAACCTTGGTAGTGAAAAGGGTGGTAGCATTTGGAAAGTTATGGCCAGACCAGGTATCTAGGACAATAGAATTAAAATCTGGATGATGGCACCAGTAGGTTTCAAGGCGGAAAACACGTTGAGTGTGGAACCTATTGTGGTGGGAGAGTGAAATTAGGAGGGGTGTGTGGTCAGAGTAAGTCTTAGGAAGATGGGTAACATTTGCATCAGGGTAATATTCTAACCATTGCTCGTTAGTATAACACCTATTAAGTCGTTCAAAAATTAGATCGGAGGGATTATGTCTATGATTTGACCACGTGTATTTTGCTCCTTTAAAACCAAGGTCTATAAGGTGACAATGATTAATACACGATTAAAAACGTGAGGCTCTATTTCTGTTGATAGGTCTGCCCCCTCCCCCCATTTATCATGTTGGCTAGTTACTTCATTAAAATCACCACCTAGGAACCACATTCCTTTATAGTTAGTAGCAATATTTTCTAGGTTTAGCCGCAGTTGATTCCTAGTATTAACATTAGTACTAGCATAAACGGTACTAAATAACCAAGGTTGGTGGTTTGGGAGTACCTGGATCATGGCATGAATTTCCCGACCATCGAGGCGTATATGACTGAGCTGGACAATGGTGTCATGCCACAGGATGGCAACTCCCCCAAATTGGCCTTGTGCAGGGATTTCAACCATATTAGAAAGCGAAAATTATCTCTAATGCCTATATGATTGGACATTCGAGTTTCAAGAAGGGCAACCAAGCAAGGGTTGTAAGTATTGAGTACATCCCTAAAATGACGCTTGAATTCGTCATTATTACCACCCCTGATGTTCTAAATGAAAAAGTTGGGGAGTCTACTCATTGATGGATATTGTGGGGGGAGGGGGGGTATGACACTTCTCTTCACTGATAGGCTGAGTATGACTGCGAAGTTGCCTACTGCCTCGTCTAGTGGAGGCTTTATGTCGAGGGAACATTTGTATAGCTCCAGTGGGCACTTGCAAACAAACTTCTTGTCCTCCATCGCCTGAAATAGCATGATCTTGACCACGTGTAGGTTTGAAGTTTCTGTGAATGATGTTATGTTTAGTGGTGGGATGTTCTGATCTTGTGCCACCATTTCTTGTTCTCCTAGTGCGGGTGCATTGTGATGGAGATGGGGGTGTGCTTGATGAATATCCACTTGAGCTGGGAAGTGTTGTGGGACAGGTTTCCATGCATGGATCAAGTGAGGGGTTTTTGATCCTGTGGAGCAAACAACGGAAGTTTATGAAAGAGCAGGTGCTAATTCCAGAGCTATGGGGTTCAGAACATTTGTCAACCAAATGTGGTTGATGTGGTTTGACATCGCTAGCCTTATGCCCTCTGAAATTAGTTGTGCTAGAATCCGTGGGTTTTGAAGAACAAATAGAACCTCTTGGTTCTGAATGTTGAGAGTGAAGAAAGCTTCTTGGCCCTGAAGCCCTTGTTCCAACCATGTCATTGGTTGATGATCCTGTGGGAGGGCATTGGTGACATATATCGTGGGATTGGGGTTTGGTATTTGGTTGTCCATTCTGGAGAGTATCGATGGAAGATGGTGAGGAGGGAGTTGTTTCAGAGGGATTCTCCTACGTGTGTGGGGTTATAATGGATTCATAGTGTGAAGGAGAAGATGTAATGGCGGAGGAAGATTGGGGTTCGTGAACTAATGATTGTGTATCTATTATAAGAGATTATGTTTGCATGTCTTGATCATTTACTTCCAAACATGGGTTATCCGTTATTGGGGAATTGGTTTGCATGGCCACTTGGCAGGAGGTAGATGACAAGTCATATAGGGGTGTATTAGGGGTATTATGTGTCATTAGTGGAAGAAGAGGTGGCGTGCTTGGTAGGGGATTAGGGGATGGGGCTGCTGTTTTATTCAAAGTAGAGTGGCTGCATGCAGCCTTTTGGCCACGTGGAGACCCATGTTGGGGGGAAGGGGAATGGTTTCTTGGAGGAGAAGAGTGATCAAGCTCTGTGGATTGGTTCGGGTTTTTCCCATCTAAATCCATAAGGACGGAGTCATCCAAATGCAGTAAAACATTATTATCGTCAGTGGGGAGCGAGGAAAACTTATTAGAGGTGTGAATTGGCTTACTAGTGTATGTACTAAGCCTGTTAGCATTTTTGAAGGATTTGTAGTTGGAACTATTTTTAGACAACAACTCAGTAGTATCAGTGTATTTAGACCTAAAAACAAGCTTTTGAGTATTTAGGAATTTACTTGATGCTGCATCAAATATATTGACATTTATACCCGGGGGTGTCGCTTGAGTTTTATTCTGAGATGAACTGGCAGTGTGTTTTTTTGTTTGTTACCTCTGGGAAATGAGACTGTTTGCCATAATTCTTCAACTAGTTTTCCCTTGTCTGTGGAGTTGGAGGAGATGACCCAAGGGCCTTCTTGTGTCTGCTTTAGTGAGTCAATTGTAGAGTAGGAGCATGATGTTGCAGTGTGACCCAGTCTACCACAGGCTTTACATAAAAAATTCTCCCCTTCATACACGAGTTGTTGTATATGAGAGCCAATTTGAATTGCTGTTTGGACCGGCTGGTCTGATGGTACTTGCACACATAATCTCGCATACCTTCCTCTGAGTGTTGAGCTTGTACAAGCATCTATACATAGCAGCCTGCCAATTAAGTTTCCAATCCTTCCAAGCACTATTCCATCGAAGAATTCTGTGGGTAATTGTGGAAGGCAAACCCAGACGGCTGAGTGGACTTCTTTAGCTTTGCTAGCTACAAAATTTGGCTCCCACCTTCGAACAGAGAAGTAGTGCCCATTGATAAACCAAGGGCCATATTGTAGAACCTTTGCCATATTTTCTTCTTTAGTGAACTTAACTACATAGAAATCTAATCCTAGATCAATTAATGAAAAGGGTTCGTTTGCTTTCCAAAGGTCTTGGATCTTTTTTTTTTAGGTACTGGTGGACGACTCTTTTTCCCAGGAGTTTGATTATAAGAGAAATTGCCAGGGTGTGTACATTCTTCCTCTGTCTTCTGCTGTCAGAGAAATTTATTTTTATTTGGAGGAGATAGATTCATGGGAGGAATCATCCCTCATTGTCTCAAAATAATCAAACACATTGATGTTTGTATTGATTGGGGCGTCCGTTAGATTTTCTTGGGAGAGTAATTTCTCTTTGAAAGAGGAGGTGCTTGGATTAATAGGGATGGAGTGATTATTGGTCATTAAATGATCAATAACTATGTCGGGTGGTTTAGGTGGAATGGAGGTCTGAGGTAAGTTCCAGTAATTGTTGAATTCATCACTGGGAATTATTGGCAGTATTCAAGGATTGTGGTGAGTAGAGGGAGGGGAGAAGATTTTCTCTCACTGGGAATTAGAAAAGGTTTTTTTCTTTCTCATCTTGATTCTTGACAGCATTACTAATCCGATTAATTCTCCAAACTTTCATGGTAAATAACAAATTAATGATTCGAATATTAGCTATTAGTTTTATTTCAATTTGAGATTTGTCTCTATTTTGAACTATAATAAATTTATTTCACTATAAATAAATTATATGACTACAAGATCTGAAATACACGACGAGACTTGCTTAAATATTTTTATTCAAATTAAATTATCACACATTCATATTTTTATTCCAATCAAATTATAGAACTTTTGTCTAGAACTTTTATAACGAAATGTAGTTTTTTTTAGGTAAGCAATTCACATATAAAGAATGAGTCCTATGCTTTGAGACTTTTTTGTATTTTTGTGCTTCTTTTTGTAATAAAATTTGTACAAATTTTAGTTTTTACAGTATTAACATCTCAATAATATTCTATTAATCTTTATTTTAAATTTTGATGGTTTAAAAAGAGTATAGTTTATCTCTTTGGATAATGTTTAAAATTAATAATAACTCATAAACGTATAAATTTTAATAACTCAAAAACATATAAATTCTCTTACATCAATTGACATTATGATAAGCATCAAAATTTACTTTAAAGTTATAGATGGTGCACCCATAGTTTGCGTATTTGTAAAATGTACCACTGAGGATACGTCGCTTCACAATTTATGGTCCCGATATTTGTTTTAATTTTTGATTTGCTTCCTACTTGTTTATTTGGTAATGTTTCAAAGCCAAATTTGGTTATATCTCTTTTATGTCACATTTGGGCTGTGTAATCTTTCATATGTGTTGTTTTATGTGTGTAATGTTTATTTCTTTCTTTAGTGAATGTAACAATCCATGTTAGTTTACTTGTAAATAATTTTTCTTTTATTTATTGAGGTTGGACTCCAACTTAGTAAAAACTTAACCGCACTGGTTGTTTACACCAAATCAATAGATATATGACATGTGTCTTGCATATGGACTTCAATCATTTAATCATGGTAAATTACGTGCATTCTCATCTAATTAAATTAATTAACCATAGTGAGTTAATATAGTTTGGTGTAAACACCCGGTGTGGGTAAGTATTTACCCTCCAACTTACTAGGAGGAATCGTTCATATACGATAGTTAAATAACTTAAAAGTTCATATTTTTTTTTAAAGCATAACAATACGTGACCTGAAAGATGCTCACCACCTTTCCATCATTAAGTTTCTTGTCTTGAATTTAGTCGCAAACCAATTGGGATTAGCCAAAATTCAAATATATTTCTTTCAAAGTAAAATCAAATAGTTCTTAAATTATTAGATTATGTGACGTAACACATTTTTTTGTTCGATCGTAGGTGGTGACTCCACAAATAACTAATTTTTTTGAATTAACTAGATTTAAACAAAAAACTCATTCTACTTTTAAAGTTTACTTTCCTTTTCCTTTGATTTTTTTTTGTTTTTGTGCAACTCTATGTACTATATATATACTAGCAGTCGTACCCGCGCGATGCGCGGTCACTATTAAAAAATATTAATCAAATTAAATTATGATAGGGCTTGTTTGATCCTATTAGATTGTATTGCTTTAATAAAATTCAATTGTCATCTTACTTGTCAATATGATATACCCAATAATGAAATCTCTATTAAATCAAAGGTACTTATATAGTTAGTGAATAACTTTTTTGTTCTATATTTTTCTTTATTATATTAGCCATTGTTTAGTATTCGCTTTCTTTTTGTAATATATGAGAAGATATATAATTTATTACTGATGAAATATTTTTTTGTTTTAAATTTTATTCTGTTGTTCTTAATAATATTATCTAAATTTTAATGAATAAAATCTCTGTTAAACTGTTGGGACTTATACAGGGAGCGCATTGAATAAATTTTTTGTTATGTATTTTTCTGTATTATATCATCTAATATTTAGTATTATTACATTTTTAATAGATAAATTTATTAGCATATTACTTTATTTAATATTTTTTCTCTGAAAGTATTTTAGTTTCTTTATTTTCGTTTTTTTTATTTTAAAATAATGTTTAAAACTCCAATTTGAAACTACTCCCAAATTTGAATTGGTAATTCATTATTTTTTTAATTTCATTTTTTATTTTAAAATTATTTAAAAACTCCAACTTGAAACTACTCCCACCCAATTTGAATGGGTAGTTATTTTTTTATATATATTTATTTTTCTTTTTTTTAAATTTAATTATAAGATATCTATATTTATTAATCCAAATAAAGTAACCAATTAATACATACATACACACACACACACACACACACACACACACACACACACACATATATATATATATATATATGGTAATTTTTTATTTTATTTTATTATTTTCGTTTTTTATATATATTTAAATTCAAAAATAATAACCAATAACTAATTATAAAATGTGGGATTTTTTTAGGTTTCCACTTGGCTTAAGGAGAGGGCTTTTTCCTCTCCTTTTAATAATATATAGACTATATTTATTAATTCAAATAAAGTAACCAATTAATATTAATATATATATATATATATATATATATTATTTTATTATTTTCATTTTTTATATATATTTAAATTCAAAAATAATAACCAATAACTTTTGTTCATATTTTTCTTTATTATATTAGCCATTGTTTAGTATTCGCTTTCTNTATATATATATATATATATATATATATATATATATATATATATGGAGGCCAGTGGCGGAGGCAGAATATCTGTCAAGGGGTTCAAAAAAAGGAAAAAGTTAAGGGGGTTAAAAAAAAGGAAAAAGTTAAAAATTAAAAGAAGATGTAGCTAGTGGGAATTGAACCATTGACCTCACAAAGGTTTTGAACCCCCTTAACCACTAAGCTATGCTTTTGGGCTGCATCAAGGGGATTCAAAACATACTATCTAGAGGTAAAAAATAGATTTTACCTTATATATACAGTGTAATTTTTCGGTGAAGGGGGTTCGGAACCCCCTAAATCGGCCCCCTAAATCCGCCCTTGCTAGTGGTAAGCTAATAAGAAGCCACTTGGTAATTTTAGGACAAAATTAATAATTAATACTTGAAATTGGAAACATAATTAATGAAAGTAGTTGAACGAAGTTATCTAAAGCATAAGTATGGAAGTAATTGAATGAAGTTATAAAACAATACATGGCATTACAGTTCTTATCAAATCATGAAATTTTATTTTTGATAACGGTAAAACATGTCCAGTAATAGTGAAAAGTGAGAACATTCGAAATAAAGTAGTAATCATCTCAAATAAATATTTTGGTGTCATGTCAAGTAAAGGTCTTGTTCCACATGCAAAATCAAAGCAGTCGGTAACATATTCATATTAGAAATCGTGCAAGTTATAAAAACTTAAACTACGGTGAGATTGCTACCAACAGTACTCGTGTCGAAATACCAAATGTGTCACCTCGAGTAATCCATAAAAATCATTCAACTACCTATATTATCACAAAACTGGTTTATATATCAATTTTCTGAACAATTAACAGAACTGGTCAAATCTTGACAGATCTAGTTAATTTTCTTTTTTATTCCATATGAAATATAGCTATTGATTCTCTGATCAGTTTAGGAAAACCTAAATTGATAGGAACTACAGTTTGCTTATTCCAATTTTGTATTTTATAATTATATATGTACCCTTTTAATGCGGGGTATTATAGCCTTTTTCCTAAGAAACATTACACACAAAAAATAAAAGTAAATTAATTTGCAAATTGACTTCTAGTAAAAAAGATGTTGTTTCATGATGAATGTATGCATTATTCTCAAATAATGTTTTTATTGCTGGTCCCTGTATTGGTCAAAATATGACCGCTGCAGTCAGCCTAACCGAGATCTCGTCCAAGCGACGACACAGTGAAAGACGACGTGGGTTGCTCCAAAATCCCGGACTCACAATACCCGCCATGACAATGCTCAGGGAACGACGAAGCGGACGTGGTGTGATAGTGTATTGACCCAAGAACATAGTGAGGATTCCATAACTATATATAGGAAGGGAATATTTCATCGGGGAGGGGGGGGGGACTTTTTTCTCTCTCTTCCCTCTCCTCTGTAATCTTCTTAGCAAAAGGAAGACAAAATCATCTTCCATGGAGGATGAAAAACAGTCATCTCCACCGATTAACAAAAGAGACAAAAAATATCAATAAGATTGATCACCCCTATTTCATCTTATGCATTATTTTCTGATTTTGTTTATGGATCTGGAGGTTATTATGTTTGACTAAGATTTACCTCTTCATCTTTGTTAATTGATTTAATCATAAAGGTTTCGTTATCTTTTGGTCAAACAATTTGGCGCCGTCTGTGGGAATTTCTTAGTGAAAACTTCCTAGTCTCCTCCAGATCAAAAACCGGAAAAATTATCACCCACCGACAGGAACGGTAAGTAAATCTCACACGCCAACCTAGATCATGATGCTATATACAAGC